AAAGAGAAAATCACTTGCAGCATGTGTCAAAAGTTTAAAAACCCACCGGGATTCGAACCCAGATCTCTTGCCAGTAACTTAGGCAAGTGTGTTACCATTACACCACAGGAATGTTGGAAATGACACAATATGCAAGGATTACATCTGATTGGAAATGAGAAAAGGGCTAATTTTGAGTAAATGAAGGCAAAATAAGCCTAAAATGACTCGAAAATAAACCATGTAAGCCAAAATAATAGAGGAGGGGGGCTTGAAATAAAGCCCCAAATGAAGGAAGAAAACAGCAGCAAAAAATAAGCTGTTAGAATTTAAAAAAAAATATTTTGGGGTGAATCAAGGTAAAATAAGCATAAATTGACTGGAAAAGAAACCATACATGTCAAAATAATAATAGAAAAAAACCTTAAAAGAGGCTGAAATAAAGCCCTACTGATGTAGTAAGTAACAGGTAAAAATAGGCTGTTAGAATTTAAAAAAAAATATTTTGGAGTAAATCTAAGTAAAATAAGCATTAATTGTCTTGGAAATAAACCATAAAAGTCAAAATAATGTGGAGAAAACTTTTAAAAGGGGCTGACACAAAGCCCTAATGAAGTAGCAAATAGCAGCTAAAACTAGGCCCTATAAATTATTTCAAAAAATTATTTGAAGTAAATCAAGGCCAAAAAAGTGTAGATTGACTTGAAAATAAACCATAAAAGTCAAAATTATATGGGGAAAACCCCTAAAAGGAGCTGAAAAAAAATCCATTATGAAGTACTAAATTTCAGCTTAAATAGACTGTAAAATATTAAAACAGAGAGATATCTTTTCCAAAAAGAGGAAATAATGCTCAAAACTACCAGGGAAATAAATATGGAGACTAAAAAAGACCAAAAATCCATAAATATATACCCGTAATAACAATTAAAAAAATCCCTGAAAATCGGCTATTTAAATCTCTGTAAAATATTTAATAATGCACTCTGAACTTTGTAAAAAGGCAGAAAAACCCGCATTAATTGTCTTTACTGAGAACCCCAAGCGGCAACCCGAAATTCCCTTCATTTCTTTCATATTATGAATTTATTTACCCTTTTTTCTCTTCATCCCCCCTTCTGAAATTGGAACAAAACCACGAAGATTGCGTACCATCCTTTGCGCTACTTGCTTCCCAATCTTCGTGGTGGATTCCAATTTCTAGACCAATCAGAATTGTCCCTCATTCCAATTTCATTCCAATTTCGTTCCAATTTCATTCCAATTCTGAGCTCCTCAACCAATCAGAGAAAAGGGGCATTCCAATTCTTCCAATTTACAGTAGGTCGGACGCCATATTGGTAAGTCGCATGTTATATAGTAAAATTTTGAAAAGGCTATTTCTAGAGTTTTATTAGGAGTTTATGGCCAAATTTGGTATCGATCAATTCGTCTCGGTAAGTTTTATACTATTGAGTCGATTGACCCTCGGGAATTTTGTTATTTAATTGAAATTGAACACATGTAAACAAACTTCCGGAAGGGGGGACGCTATCTTTTTTAAGTGTAAAAATACAAGTTTTCCACCGATATGCATCCGTGAAATTGCTAAAATTCAATTAAATACATTACTTTATAATTGCTTGTCAATGCATTCCTGTGTACATCGTATATTTATGCAGAAACGAGCTCTTTTAAATTGTGCAAATTCGAGCTGTGTGTTGATCGTCTGTGTACTTGTGTACATTTGATTGAAGACGTTTACCAAGACTATTTTGTATGAAACTCTGTAGGTTTTTGTGTTAAATCAATTGAATGAAGTCTGATCTCTTCTTAGGAACACGGGGTTTTACTTAGTTTGAGTTGAAACTATGTTTTACAACATTATTTTCTTGGTGACCTGTTTTCATTGAGTACATTTGTTTACATTTGTGAAATAGGCTGTATGAAGGAAATTTAAGTGAAACTGAGTTGAATTTTATATTAAATCAAGTGATTCTAGTCTAATTTCATGTTGTAAACACACCGTACTACTGCGCGCAGTGTAAAACAGTGTTAATTTGTATTCAATGAAGTAGTATACCTACCTGCAAGTTTTCCCTTTTTTGCACCTTCTTGTAAACATACATGGCATAGGACCGGGAATGTATCAAGTCTTAGTTTTGATTGAATATCAAAGAATAATAAGAAATCTTGCATTTTCAGCCCTACGTAGTGTCTCGACAGTAAACAGACTTGTACGTCACTCTAATAACAAGTTGGTACCTAGCCCCCCTTTGAGTACCTTGTAGACCCCACCCTCCAGCACCCCCGGGGACTGACCGGAAGCTGAATGGGGTGAAATACCTTCACTCGGAGACGGACGAGGAATCCGATGAAGTCTCGGCTGTTCGAACCTTCTTCGCAGACACAGAAAACAGTAAGTAGCATTTATTATTACATGTAACTAAAATACCTGGTATATATGAGAGGTATAGACAGTTTAAACCAGTACGGCTAGGTGAAATAATGCTGAAAACATTCAATTAGATTCATATGTGAGTAATTTTGGAAGAATTGGTTATTTAGAGTGATTGCGTATTTACTTAAACAGTGTATTTTTATACATATGATATACAGGTACAAGTTGCTAAGTAATGGTACTGTTTTACAGGTACAGGAAGGAAAAACAGATGAAATACTATGTGTATGATTGAGAAATCTAAGCATCAAGCCTCCCAGTGACAAAGACTTAGCCAGTCCTGTCAAGATAAAGCACCTTAAGGACACTGACACCTCGGTATTAAGGTACGACTTGTACCCAAGACTGCGAACCAGTTAAATGTGAACATGTGTTCTCGACATACACCGTCTGCAGTCACGATAGCCTAACCGGACACTTTCCAGCTAAAATATCTGTCATTTACACTTCTGCTGTCTCCTGAAAATGGTACGTGAATACAGAGATCCTTAATTGTACAGTGGAGAGTTCACTCAGACTGATACAGAGGAAAAGGAACCAGCACAAGATATGATGGATGTTTAACTAACTCCAAGCAAGTGTTTCAAGTGTGAAAAATCACATTCTATGCAATCTTTGTACAGAAAACTTTGGGAAGAAACTTTTAATGCTGCCTAGTGTTATGTTTTTATTACAACATAATTCTAGAAGGTCCCAAGCCCTTATAAAAGCAGAGGGAAAGTTTCTGATCCAAAATAAGTCAATATGAAGTCAGTGTGTTGTTTTTCTTTAAAATATTGTGTAAATATCACCTGCATAAAGTGTCAGAAATGAAAACCCACCAGGATTTGAACCCAGGTCTCTTGCCCAAAAGTCAGGCAAGTGTGTTACCACTACACCATGGGAATTTACAATGACACAAAATGCAAGGATGGAAATTAAGCATTTTTCTTTGGATGTAGAATTATTTGAGCTTAAAAAAGACTGAAAATGGGAAAAAATACCAAAAAGGAGTTAATAATTACTTACAGACATCCTCAAATATGTTATAAAGGGGGTTTATATAAATTATTCTAAGCAACTCTTGTAAAAGGATTTGACCCAAGAATTTTTGTTTTCGGTTATAATTTCAAGGCTAAATAAACCTGGAAATAAGTAAAAGTGTGAGAAATTAACAGATAATACAAAGAAAAGGAGTGTCAATTTGTCTGAAAATTAGATATATGAATGTAGGAATTTTGAGCAGATGGAGGTTTAATAAAATCATTTAAAAATTATATTCCTTGTCTTATTCTTTCAAATTCAAAGAGAAAATCACTTGCAGCATGTGTCAAAAGTTTAAAAACCCACCGGGATTCGAACCCAGATCTCTTGCCAGTAACTTAGGCAAGTGTGTTACCATTACACCACAGGAATGTTGGAAATGACACAATATGCAAGGATTACATCTGATTGGAAATGAGAAAAGGGCTAATTTTGAGTAAATGAAGGCAAAATAAGCCTAAAATGACTCGAAAATAAACCATGTAAGCCAAAATAATAGAGGAGGGGGGCTTGAAATAAAGCCCCAAATGAAGGAAGAAAACAGCAGCAAAAAATAAGCTGTTAGAATTTAAAAAAAAATATTTTGGGGTGAATCAAGGTAAAATAAGCATAAATTGACTGGAAAAGAAACCATACATGTCAAAATAATAATAGAAAAAAACCTTAAAAGAGGCTGAAATAAAGCCCTACTGATGTAGTAAGTAACAGGTAAAAATAGGCTGTTAGAATTTAAAAAAAAATATTTTGGAGTAAATCTAAGTAAAATAAGCATTAATTGTCTTGGAAATAAACCATAAAAGTCAAAATAATGTGGAGAAAACTTTTAAAAGGGGCTGACACAAAGCCCTAATGAAGTAGCAAATAGCAGCTAAAACTAGGCCCTATAAATTATTTCAAAAAATTATTTGAAGTAAATCAAGGCCAAAAAAGTGTAGATTGACTTGAAAATAAACCATAAAAGTCAAAATTATATGGGGAAAACCCCTAAAAGGAGCTGAAAAAAAATCCATTATGAAGTACTAAATTTCAGCTTAAATAGACTGTAAAATATTAAAACAGAGAGATATCTTTTCCAAAAAGAGGAAATAATGCTCAAAACTACCAGGGAAATAAATATGGAGACTAAAAAAGACCAAAAATCCATAAATATATACCCGTAATAACAATTAAAAAAATCCCTGAAAATCGGCTATTTAAATCTCTGTAAAATATTTAATAATGCACTCTGAACTTTGTAAAAAGGCAGAAAAACCCGCATTAATTGTCTTTACTGAGAACCCCAAGCGGCAACCCGAAATTCCCTTCATTTCTTTCATATTATGAATTTATTTACCCTTTTTTCTCTTCATCCCCCCTTCTGAAATTGGAACAAAACCACGAAGATTGCGTACCATCCTTTGCGCTACTTGCTTCCCAATCTTCGTGGTGGATTCCAATTTCTAGACCAATCAGAATTGTCCCTCATTCCAATTTCATTCCAATTTCGTTCCAATTTCATTCCAATTCTGAGCTCCTCAACCAATCAGAGAAAAGGGGCATTCCAATTCTTCCAATTTACAGTAGGTCGGACGCCATATTGGTAAGTCGCATGTTATATAGTAAAATTTTGAAAAGGCTATTTCTAGAGTTTTATTAGGAGTTTATGGCCAAATTTGGTATCGATCAATTCGTCTCGGTAAGTTTTATACTATTGAGTCGATTGACCCTCGGGAATTTTGTTATTTAATTGAAATTGAACACATGTAAACAAACTTCCGGAAGGGGGGACGCTATCTTTTTTAAGTGTAAAAATACAAGTTTTCCACCGATATGCATCCGTGAAATTGCTAAAATTCAATTAAATACATTACTTTATAATTGCTTGTCAATGCATTCCTGTGTACATCGTATATTTATGCAGAAACGAGCTCTTTTAAATTGTGCAAATTCGAGCTGTGTGTTGATCGTCTGTGTACTTGTGTACATTTGATTGAAGACGTTTACCAAGACTATTTTGTATGAAACTCTGTAGGTTTTTGTGTTAAATCAATTGAATGAAGTCTGATCTCTTCTTAGGAACACGGGGTTTTACTTAGTTTGAGTTGAAACTATGTTTTACAACATTATTTTCTTGGTGACCTGTTTTCATTGAGTACATTTGTTTACATTTGTGAAATAGGCTGTATGAAGGAAATTTAAGTGAAACTGAGTTGAATTTTATATTAAATCAAGTGATTCTAGTCTAATTTCATGTTGTAAACACACCGTACTACTGCGCGCAGTGTAAAACAGTGTTAATTTGTATTCAATGAAGTAGTATACCTACCTGCAAGTTTTCCCTTTTTTGCACCTTCTTGTAAACATACATGGCATAGGACCGGGAATGTATCAAGTCTTAGTTTTGATTGAATATCAAAGAATAATAAGAAATCTTGCATTTTCAGCCCTACGTAGTGTCTCGACAGTAAACAGACTTGTACGTCACTCTAATAACAAGTTGGTACCTAGCCCCCCTTTGAGTACCTTGTAGACCCCACCCTCCAGCACCCCCGGGGACTGACCGGAAGCTGAATGGGGTGAAATACCTTCACTCGGAGACGGACGAGGAATCCGATGAAGTCTCGGCTGTTCGAACCTTCTTCGCAGACACAGAAAACAGTAAGTAGCATTTATTATTACATGTAACTAAAATACCTGGTATATATGAGAGGTATAGACAGTTTAAACCAGTACGGCTAGGTGAAATAATGCTGAAAACATTCAATTAGATTCATATGTGAGTAATTTTGGAAGAATTGGTTATTTAGAGTGATTGCGTATTTACTTAAACAGTGTATTTTTATACATATGATATACAGGTACAAGTTGCTAAGTAATGGTACTGTTTTACAGGTACAGGAAGGAAAAACAGATGAAATACTATGTGTATGATTGAGAAATCTAAGCATCAAGCCTCCCAGTGACAAAGACTTAGCCAGTCCTGTCAAGATAAAGCACCTTAAGGACACTGACACCTCGGTATTAAGGTACGACTTGTACCCAAGACTGCGAACCAGTTAAATGTGAACATGTGTTCTCGACATACACCGTCTGCAGTCACGATAGCCTAACCGGACACTTTCCAGCTAAAATATCTGTCATTTACACTTCTGCTGTCTCCTGAAAATGGTACGTGAATACAGATCCTTAATTGTACAGTGGAGAGTTCACTCAGACTGATACAGAGGAAAAGGAACCAGCACAAGATATGATGGATGTTTAACTAACTCCAAGCAAGTGTTTCAAGTGTGAAAAATCACATTCTATGCAATCTTTGTACAGAAAACTTTGGGAAGAAACTTTTAATGCTGCCTAGTGTTATGTTTTTATTACAACATAATTCTAGAAGGTCCCAAGCCCTTATAAAAGCAGAGGGAAAGTTTCTGATCCAAAATAAGTCAATATGAAGTCAGTGTGTTGTTTTTCTTTAAAATATTGTGTAAATATCACCTGCATAAAGTGTCAGAAATGAAAACCCACCAGGATTTGAACCCAGGTCTCTTGCCCAAAAGTCAGGCAAGTGTGTTACCACTACACCATGGGAATTTACAATGACACAAAATGCAAGGATGGAAATTAAGCATTTTTCTTTGGATGTAGAATTATTTGAGCTTAAAAAAGACTGAAAATGGGAAAAAATACCAAAAAGGAGTTAATAATTACTTACAGACATCCTCAAATATGTTATAAAGGGGGTTTATATAAATTATTCTAAGCAACTCTTGTAAAAGGATTTGACCCAAGAATTTTTGTTTTCGGTTATAATTTCAAGGCTAAATAAACCTGGAAATAAGTAAAAGTGTGAGAAATTAACAGATAATACAAAGAAAAGGAGTGTCAATTTGTCTGAAAATTAGATATATGAATGTAGGAATTTTGAGCAGATGGAGGTTTAATAAAATCATTTAAAAATTATATTCCTTGTCTTATTCTTTCAAATTCAAAGAGAAAATCACTTGCAGCATGTGTCAAAAGTTTAAAAACCCACCGGGATTCGAACCCAGATCTCTTGCCAGTAACTTAGGCAAGTGTGTTACCATTACACCACAGGAATGTTGGAAATGACACAATATGCAAGGATTACATCTGATTGGAAATGAGAAAAGGGCTAATTTTGAGTAAATGAAGGCAAAATAAGCCTAAAATGACTCGAAAATAAACCATGTAAGCCAAAATAATAGAGGAGGGGGGCTTGAAATAAAGCCCCAAATGAAGGAAGAAAACAGCAGCAAAAAATAAGCTGTTAGAATTTAAAAAAAAATATTTTGGGGTGAATCAAGGTAAAATAAGCATAAATTGACTGGAAAAGAAACCATACATGTCAAAATAATAATAGAAAAAAACCTTAAAAGAGGCTGAAATAAAGCCCTACTGATGTAGTAAGTAACAGGTAAAAATAGGCTGTTAGAATTTAAAAAAAAATATTTTGGAGTAAATCTAAGTAAAATAAGCATTAATTGTCTTGGAAATAAACCATAAAAGTCAAAATAATGTGGAGAAAACTTTTAAAAGGGGCTGACACAAAGCCCTAATGAAGTAGCAAATAGCAGCTAAAACTAGGCCCTATAAATTATTTCAAAAAATTATTTGAAGTAAATCAAGGCCAAAAAAGTGTAGATTGACTTGAAAATAAACCATAAAAGTCAAAATTATATGGGGAAAACCCCTAAAAGGAGCTGAAAAAAAATCCATTATGAAGTACTAAATTTCAGCTTAAATAGACTGTAAAATATTAAAACAGAGAGATATCTTTTCCAAAAAGAGGAAATAATGCTCAAAACTACCAGGGAAATAAATATGGAGACTAAAAAAGACCAAAAATCCATAAATATATACCCGTAATAACAATTAAAAAAATCCCTGAAAATCGGCTATTTAAATCTCTGTAAAATATTTAATAATGCACTCTGAACTTTGTAAAAAGGCAGAAAAACCCGCATTAATTGTCTTTACTGAGAACCCCAAGCGGCAACCCGAAATTCCCTTCATTTCTTTCATATTATGAATTTATTTACCCTTTTTTCTCTTCATCCCCCCTTCTGAAATTGGAACAAAACCACGAAGATTGCGTACCATCCTTTGCGCTACTTGCTTCCCAATCTTCGTGGTGGATTCCAATTTCCAGCCAATCAGCAATTGTCCCTCATTCCAATTTCATTCCAAATTTTTCTGAGCTACTCAGCCCTCCTATTTTGCCAATCAGAGAAAAGGGGCATTCCAATTTTAATATATGTATTGGTAAGTCTGTTATATAGTAAAATTTTGAAAAGGCCTAGAATTAAGCAAATTTGTACAATGTAATAAAATAATTGTGGCACATATAAATACAATGAAAAATACAAGAGATATATTAAATTGAAAATAGCCCTTTTTAATCGTATTTTATGCAGAAAAATACTCTTTTAAATTGTAAATTCACTGTGTGTTGATCTGTGTAGTGTAGACGTTTAAAGATATTTTGTATGAAACTCTGTAGGTTTTTGTGTTAAATCAATTGAATGAAGTCTGATCTCTTCTTAGGAACACGGGGTTTTAAGTTTGAGTTGAAACTATGTTTTACAAAATTATTTTCTTGGTGCTAAAAAATATAAAATTAAAAATCAAATTGATAAACATGTGTATTGAAATACACATGTGCACACATGTGTATACTGTTAAAAAAAATCAAAAAAGAAATTGTATAAAAAAATTAACGCATAAAAACAAATATGCACATAGGAATGAAAAAAATAATTTTTAATTAAAGAAAAATAACAATACAGGAAGAGTATATGGAATGCTGTACAAATTTGCGCGTCTTCCATTCGCATGCTTGCTTCAGAATCTTAGCGGTGAGTCCCAAAATGTTCGACCAATCAGATATCGCCCTCGTTCCAATTTCTTCCAATTTCCTTCCAATTTCGATCTCATTCTCTTTTATCGACCAAACGCCGCGTTTGGTTTCAAAGAATTGAAATAAAGTATAGCAAATTCATTTTAAAGTCGAAATACAATCAAGAAAAGTGAAAAAAGTAAAAATAAATAAAATTTAAAAATATGTATTTTTTTTTTAAATTTCAGTGGAAAAATTAGAAAAAGAAAAATATGGAACGCTTCACGAATTTGCGTGTCATCCTTGCGCAGGGGCCATGCTAATCTTCTCTGTATCGTTCCAATTTTAATATATGTACTGCCGAAAAGCAAGTACAATGTAATAAAATAATTGTGGCATATAAATACAATGATTCGGAGAATATTATGAAATAGCCCTTTTTAATTTTTGCATACTGTAAACACCTGGAGAGACGATAATATTGCGTAACAAGAAAGGTAACTGCTACCTACATGTGTATGTGACATACACATGTGCACACATGTGTATACTGTTAAAAAAAAATCATAAAAGATAATTGTATAAAAAAATTAACGGGTTGAAAAAAATAATTTTTTAAGGGGAGGGGATGGGTGGAGTAGGGTCATTTTCATATTATTAATAACTTTAAAAAAATTAGTAATATTTGTAATGTTGTCATATTTCATATCAAGCAGTTTTGGCGAAATATGTATTTTATATGGTATACAACCAAGCAACACTCCGGTGCTCAAAAAATGGCCGTTGAGTGGGTATGTCACTATGCAGAATGGATAAGGGCTTTCACGACGCTAATTGTTGAAACAAATAAAAATATAAAACTAGAAAATTCACTAACCTTCCAATAATTTGTCTTCTAAGTTCTAGTGCAAATCAACTTGCAGAGAATTATTTTCCAACTTGAACGTAATCCAATGCACCACTAGCAAACACTGCTATATACGCTGTATAAAATTGATATCCACTTTGAAAATTCACAAAAATTCCAATCAATTCCTCACAATGAATATTGAAAATGCACACAAAAAATGGATTCACAGGCTTCTCTGACGACCGGATGACGATATCTACGCTTTTGTTGTTACGAACACAACGTCACAGTGGGCATTACGTAAACAATAGGTTACGGTCAAAGGGACATAACTCCTTCTAACTTGTGTCATGGTAAAAAACGTATTAAAGAAAATTGAACAACATAATGAATAAATAAATACACTTCTTTCAAAAAGTCAGTCAGAATTTAAAACACACACAATCCTCAACAGGAACAATTAAAAAAATAAAAGTAACAAAAAATATCAATGAAAAAATGAAATTAATGTAACTAAAAATCAAATTGATAAACAAATGAAATTGAAAGAAATAAAACAAACTGCATTAATAAAAAAGACATGTATCTGCATGCAGTAAATTAAAATCATGCATAAAAAATGATATATAAATTTGTGAATTATTAAATGAATACTGTTACAGGAGTGCATAGTTTTTCTCTTATTCTAAATTGATGTACCAGGGGTAAGCGCGAACGCAGACCCCCACACTTAAAAATTACGTGCCCGAGTCGCCCGCATTTGGGGCGATCGCAGGGTTCAGCCGATCCGGAGTGCAATGGAAAGGCCTCGCCCTGGAGGGACCCCCTACTTGATCAGGGTGCCCTCTGCACCAGGTAAGTATGATTAGTATAGTTAATGACAGGATTTAAAACAATGAAGCTGCGCAGAAATCAAGTGTTTAAGAGACAGAGTGCAGTCACATATGATCAATGTCTCACGGACGGGCCTAAATGGGCAGGATCACCAACCCAAATTACACCCTCCCCTTTACATTTTACCTCTGTGTCGTATTCCCAGGTTTTACTCACTCTCTAAAATCTTTCTTACACATACTCCGTTTTTCTAAATGCAACGTACAGTCAACGTTTTTCATTCGTATGGCCAGCGTTTATACCATCACCTGAATAAGTGTAACAGATTTTTTTTTTTTTTCGTTTTAATTGTTTTAATTTAATTTTTGTTTTTCTAAGAAAAAAGAGTATTAATATAGGGAGAGAAGAAGATATCAAACAATAACCAAGATATGAATAATAAAACGAATTAACGCTATTATACACACCAGTGTACCCCCCCCCCCCCCTCCGTTTGAGTTAATTTTGTTGATCTCAGTGTCATTAATTAAAGAAAAATAACAATACAGGAAGAGTATATGGAATGCTGTACAAATTTGCGCGTCTTCCATTCGCATGCTTGCTTCAGAATCTTAGCGGTGAGTCCCAAAATGTTCGACCAATCAGATATCGCCCTCGTTCCAATTTCTTCCAATTTCCTTCCAATTTCGATCTCATTCTCTTTTATCGACCAAACGCCGCGTTTGGTTTCAAAGAATTGAAATAAAGTATAGCAAATTCATTTTAAAGTCGAAATACAATCAAGAAAAGTGAAAAAAGTAAAAATAAATAAAATTTAAAAATATGTATTTTTTTTTAAATTTCAGTGGAAAAATTAGAAAAAGAAAAATATGGAACGCTTCACGAATTTGCGTGTCATCCTTGCGCAGGGGCCATGCTAATCTTCTCTGTATCGTTCCAATTTTAATATATGTACTGCCGAAAAGCAAGTACAATGTAATAAAATAATTGTGGCATATAAATACAATGATTCGGAGAATATTATGAAATAGCCCTTTTTAATTTTTGCATACTGTAAACACCTGGAGAGACGATAATATTGCGTAACAAGAAAGGTAACTGCTACCTACATGTGTATGTGACATACACATGTGCACACATGTGTATACTGTTAAAAAAAAATCATAAAAGATAATTGTATAAAAAAATTAACGGGTTGAAAAAAATAATTTTTTAAGGGGAGGGGATGGGTGGAGTAGGGTCATTTTCATATTATTAATAACTTTAAAAAAATTAGTAATATTTGTAATGTTGTCATATTTCATATCAAGCAGTTTTGGCGAAATATGTATTTTATATGGTATACAACCAAGCAACACTCCGGTGCTCAAAAAATGGCCGTTGAGTGGGTATGTCACTATGCAGAATGGATAAGGGCTTTCACGACGCTAATTGTTGAAACAAATAAAAATATAAAACTAGAAAATTCACTAACCTTCCAATAATTTGTCTTCTAAGTTCTAGTGCAAATCAACTTGCAGAGAATTATTTTCCAACTTGAACGTAATCCAATGCACCACTAGCAAACACTGCTATATACGCTGTATAAAATTGATATCCACTTTGAAAATTCACAAAAATTCCAATCAATTCCTCACAATGAATATTGAAAATGCACACGAAAAATGGATTCACAGGCTTCTCTGACGACCGGATGACGATATCTACGCTTTTGTTGTTACGAACACAACGTCACAGTGGGCATTACGTAAACAATAGGTTACGGTCAAAGGGACATAACTCCTTCTAACTTGTGTCATGGTAAAAAACGTATTAAAGAAAATTGAACAACATAATGAATAAATAAATACACTTCTTTCAAAAAGTCAGTCAGAATTTAAAACACACACAATCCTCAACAGGAACAATTAAAAAAATAAAAGTAACAAAAAATATCAATGAAAAAATGAAATTAATGTAACTAAAAATCAAATTGATAAACAAATGAAATTGAAAGAAATAAAACAAACTGCATTAATAAAAAAGACATGTATCTGCATGCAGTAAATTAAAATCATGCATAAAAAATGATATATAAATTTGTGAATTATTAAATGAATACTGTTACAGGAGTGCATAGTTTTTCTCTTATTCTAAATTGATGTACCAGGGGTAAGCGCGAACGCAGACCCCCACACTTAAAAATTACGTGCCCGAGTCGCCCGCATTTGGGGCGATCGCAGGGTTCAGCCGATCCGGAGTGCAATGGAAAGGCCTCGCCCTGGAGGGACCCCGCTACTTTGATCAGGGTGCCCTCTGCACCAGGTAAGTATGATTAGTATAGTTAATGACAGGATTTAAAACAATGAAGCTGCGCAGAAATCAAGTGTTTAAGAGACAGAGTGCAGTCACATATGATCAATGTCTCACGGACGGGCCTAAATGGGCAGGATCACCAACCCAAATTACACCCTCCCCTTTACATTTTACCTCTGTGTCGTATTCCCAGGTTTTACTCACTCTCTAAAATCTTTCTTACACATACTCCGTTTTTCTAAATGCAACGTACAGTCAACGTTTTTCATTCGTATGGCCAGCGTTTATACCATCACCTGAATAAGTGTAACAGATTTTTTTTTTTTTTAATTGTTTTAATTGTTTTAATTTAATTTTTGTTTTTCTAAGAAAAAAGAGTATTAATATAGGGAGAGAAGAAGATATCAAACAATAACCAAGATATGAATAATAAAACGAATTAACGCTATTATACACACCATACACACCAGTGTACCCCCCTCCGTTTGAGTTAATTTTGTTGATCTCAGTGTCATTAATTAAAGAAAAATAACAATACAGGAAGAGTATATGGAATGCTGTACAAATTTGCGCGTCTTCCATTCGCATGCTTGCTTCAGAATCTTAGCGGTGAGTCCCAAAATGTTCGACCAATCAGATATCGCCCTCGTTCCAATTTCTTCCAATTTCCTTCCAATTTCGATCTCATTCTCTTTTATCGACCAAACGCCGCGTTTGGTTTCAAAGAATTGAAATAAAGTATAGCAAATTCATTTTAAAGTCGAAATACAATCAAGAAAAGTGAAAAAAGTAAAAATAAATAAAATTTAAAAATATGTATTTTTTTTTTAAATTTCAGTGGAAAAATTAGAAAAAGAAAAATATGGAACGCTTCACGAATTTGCGTGTCATCCTTGCGCAGGGGCCATGCTAATCTTCTCTGTATCGTTCCAATTTTAATATATGTACTGCCGAAAAGCAAGTACAATGTAATAAAATAATTGTGGCATATAAATACAATGATTCGGAGAATATTATGAAATAGCCCTTTTTAATTTTTGCATACTGTAAACACCTGGAGAGACGATAATATTGCGTAACAAGAAAGGTAACTGCTACCTACATGTGTATGTGACATACACATGTGCACACGTGTATACTGTTAAAAAAAAATCATAAAAGATAATTGTATAAAAAAATTAACGGGTTGAAAAAAATAATTTTTTAAGGGGAGGGGATGGGTGGAGTAGGGTCATTTTCATATTATTAATAACTTTAAAAAAATTAGTAATATTTGTAATGTTGTCATATTTCATATCAAGCAGTTTTGGCGAAATATGTATTTTATATGGTATACAACCAAGCAACACTCCGGTGCTCAAAAAATGGCCGTTGAGTGGGTATGTCACTATGCAGAATGGATAAGGGCTTTCACGACGCTAATTGTTGAAACAAATAAAAATATAAAACTAGAAAATTCACTAACCTTCCAATAATTTGTCTTCTAAGTTCTAGTGCAAATCAACTTGCAGAGAATTATTTTCCAACTTGAACGTAATCCAATGCACCACTAGCAAACACTGCTATATACGCTGTATAAAATTGATATCCACTTTGAAAATTCACAAAAATTCCAATCAATTCCTCACAATGAATATTGAAAATGCACACGAAAAATGGATTCACAGGCTTCTCTGACGACCGGATGACGATATCTACGCTTTTGTTGTTACGAACACAACGTCACAGTGGGCATTACGTAAACAATAGGTTACGGTCAAAGGGACATAACTCCTTCTAACTTGTGTCATGGTAAAAAACGTATTAAAGAAAATTGAACAACATAATGAATAAATAAATACACTTCTTTCAAAAAGTCAGTCAGAATTTAAAACACACACAATCCTCAACAGGAACAATTAAAAAAATAAAAGTAACAAAAAATATCAATGAAAAAATGAAATTAATGTAACTAAAAATCAAATTGATAAACAAATGAAATTGAAAGAAATAAAACAAACTGCATTAATAAAAAAGACATGTATCTGCATGCAGTAAATTAAAATCATGCATAAAAAATGATATATAAATTTGTGAATTATTAAATGAATACTGTTACAGGAGTGCATAGTTTTTCTCTTATTCTAAATTGATGTACCAGGGGTAAGCGCGAACGCAGACCCCCACACTTAAAAATTACGTGCCCGAGTCGCCCGCATTTGGGGCGATCGCAGGGTTCAGCCGATCCGGAGTGCAATGGAAAGGCCTCGCCCTGGAGGGACCCCCAACTTGATCAGGGTGCCCTCTGCACCAGATAAGTATGTTAAGTATAGTTAATGACAGAATTTCAAACAATGACGCTGCGCAGAAATTTAGTGTTTAAGAGACAGAGTGCAGTCACATATGATCAATGTCTCACGGACGGGCCTAAATGGGCAGGATCACCAACCCAAATTACACCCTCCCCTTTACATTTTACCTCTGTGTCGTATTCCCAGGTTTTACTCACTCTCTAAAATCTTTCTTACACATACTCCGTTTTTCTAAATGCAACGTACAGTCAACGTTTTTCATTCGTATGGCCAGCGTTTAAACATCACCTGTATATAAGTGTAACAGATATAACAGATTTTTTTTTTTTTTAATTGTTTTAATTGTTTTAATTTAATTTTTGTTTTTCTAAGAAAAAAGATTATTAATATAGTGTTATAAAGAAGATATCAAACAATAACCAAGATATGAATAATAAAACGAATTAACGCTATTATACACACCAGTACCCCCCCCCCCCCCCCCCGTTTGAGTTAATTTTTTTTTACCTCAATGTCATTAAATAAAAAAAAAATACAATACGGGAAGAGTATATGGAATGCTGTACAAATTTGCGCGTCTTCCATTCGCATGCTTGCTTCAGAATCTTAGCGGTGAGTCCCAAAATGTTCGACCAATCAGATATCGCCCTCGTTCCAATTTCTTCCAATTTCCTTCCAATTTCGATCTCATTCTCTTTTATCGACCAAACGCCGCGTTTGGTTTCAAAAATTGAAATAAAGTTTAGCAAATTCATTTTAAAGTCGAAATACAATCAAGAGAGGTGAAAAAACTAAAAATAAATAAAATTTAAAAATATTTAAAAATAAATAAAATTTTAAATACAAATTCAAATTTAATTTTTTTTTTTCTAAATTTCAGTGGAAAAATTAGAAAAAGAAAAATATGGAACGCTTCACGAATTTGCGTGTCATCCTTGCGCAGGGGCCATGCTAATCTTCTCTGTATCGTTCCAATTTTAATATATGTACTGCCGAAAAGCAAGTACAATGTAATAAAATAATTGTGGCATATAAATACAATGATTCAGAGAAGATTATGAAATAGCCCTTTTTAATTTTTGCATACTGTAAACACCTGGAGAGACGATAATATTGCGTAACAAGAAAGGTAACTGCTACCTACATGTATGTGACACACACATGTGCACACATGTATACTGTTAAAAAAAAATCATAAAAGATAATTGCATAAAAAAATTAACGGGTTGAAAAAAATAATTTTTTTTAAGGGGAGGGGATGGGTGGAGTAGGGTCATTTTCATATTATTAATAACTTTAATGACCAAATATTTGTAATGTTGTCATATTTCATATCAAGCAATTTTGTCCAAATATGTATTTTATATGGTATACAATCAAGCAACACTCCGGTGCTCAAAAAATGGCCGTTGAGTGGGTATGTCACTATGCAGAATGGATAAGGGCTTTCAGGACGCTAATTGTTGAAAAAAATAAAAAAAAAAACTATGAAATTCACTAACCTTCCAATAAATTGTCTTCTAAGTTCTAGTGCAAAACAACTAGCAGAGAATAATTTACAAACTTCAACGTAATCCAATGCACCACTAGCAAACATTGCTATATACGCTGTATAAAATTGATATCCACTTTGAAAATTCACAAAAATTCCAATCAATTCCTCACAATGAATATTGAAAATGCACACAAAAAATGGATTCACACTTCTCTGACGACCGGATGACGATATCTACGCTTTTGTTGTTACGAACACAACGTCACAGTGGGCATTACGTGAACAATAGGTTACGGTAAGGGACATAACTCCTTCTAACTTGTGTCATGGTAAAAAAAAACGTATTAAAGAAAATTGAAGAATATAATGAATGAACGAATAAAATAAATAAATAAATAAATACACTTCTTTCAAAAAGTCAGTCAAATTTAAAACACACACAACCCTCAACAGGAACAATTAAAAAAATAAAAGTAACAAAAAATATCAATGAAAAAATGAAATTAATGTAACTAAAAATCAAATTGATAAACAAATGAAATTGAAAGAAATAAAACAAACTGCATTAATAAAAAAGACATGTATCTGCATGCAGTAAATTAAAATCATGCATAAAAAATGATATATAAATTTGTGAATTATTAAATTAATACTGTTACAGGAGTGCATATTTTTCTCTTATTCTAAATTGATGTACCAGGGGTAAGCGCGAACGCAGACCCCCACACTTAAAAATTACGTGCCCGAGTCGCCCGCATTTGGGGCGATCGCAGGGTTCAGCCGATCCGGAGTGCAATGGAAAGGCCTCGCCCTGGAGGGACCCCCTTCTTGATCAGGGTGCCCTCTGCACCAGGTAAGTATGATTAGTATAGTTAATGACAGGATTTAAAACAATGAAGCTGCGCAGAAATCAAGTGTTTAAGAGACAGAGTGCAGTCACATATGATCAATGTCTCACGGACGGGCCTAAATGGGCAGGATCACCAACCCAAATTACACCCTCCCCTTTACATTTTACCTCTGTGTCGTATTCCCAGGTTTTACTCACTCTCTAAAATCTTTCTTACACATACTCCGTTTTTCTAAATGCAACGTACAGTCAACGTTTTTCATTCGTATGGCCAGCGTTTATACCATCACCTGAATAAGTGTAACAGATTTTTTTTTTTTCGTTTTAATTGTTTTAATTTAATTTTTGTTTTTCTAAGAAAAAAGAGTATTAATATAGGGA